ACACACACACACACACACACACACACACCCACACACACACACACAAAAAAAAAAAAGGAAGAAAGAAAAGAAACTCTTGATTTAATTTAAACGAACAGATATAAAAACAAGCGAAACTAAAAAAAATCTGAATTTGCTTTTAGGAAAATTTACTCTGCAGCGCCCGATTGAGCCATCATTTCTCACTAAACTGAGAAACTGCAAGTTGCTTAATGATCTTTCTTTTCCTACTCGCAGAATGTTGAATAAGGTCATTAACAAATAAGGCTCTGCTTTCAAAGTCTTATGTTTTGAACGTCCCACAAAATTTGTCAGACGTTCAAAACATAAGACTTTTTCGCCTAAGTAACAGCTAGCAAACTGTAATTCACATCTGAAATTAATCCAGAGCCAATGCAAGATACGAGAGGAAAATTCACAGTTGTGTTGCAGCGAACTAGACGCAACTTTCCTTCTTTAGGTGAATTCTTATCCTTTTTCTTATCAGCAGTGTTTTTGAGGGGTTTCATACAGGACTGTGGGAGGTTCGTGAAATCGAAGCCCCGTCTAGAAATCTCCGAAAGCTTCTTCTGCATATTGAACAAAATATGTTCAAAGTAGCTTTTGCCTATTTACATGTAAATTTATACCCTTTCTTTTACTAGGATCTTTTTGCCAGAATGTTGCGACTGGAATCTGGGCTTTTAAAAATCTGTTCATAAAATACCAAATACTAATATTGCAAACAAATATTAACGTGCTGAATGCAAATATCAAATCATGACAATAAAATATATCATTGGGCATCAGAAAAAATTGAAGATAATTTTTAATTAAAAAGCGTAGGCAGGAATTATTTCAGCTTTACGGAGAAAGGAATAAAATACTGAACTCATAAATGACGTTATTCAAAAGTGTAAACACCGTCACGAGCCTTCAATTTCCTTTTCATGTTTTAAGACTCTTCTTAACTTATCCAAGTTCTCATTTCAGTGTCAATGTCATCTTCTACATCCTTGCCCTCTTTCTGGTGTAGAAGCCCGCTGACCTCTACCGCACGTTTGAGGGCGACTTGCAGGTGGAAGGCAGTGGTGGTAACCGCAAGTCGTCCCACAGCCGTTTTCCCCTTGTATCCCCGTCGGCACCACAGGGCTCTTCTAAAATTAGGGATCCTCAGGCAATAAAGTACAGGATTTGCAAACGAATTGCCGAAATTTATGAGATTTGCGAGTAACAAAAGATTTTTATCTACCGGAATATAAACTGTAAACGTGTTCGTTACTATCAATGGCAACCAGCATGCCAAGGCCACAAAAGTTATCAATAACAACGTCTTAGTTGACCGCTTGCTTTCTGAACACTTTGCATCACTCTGTCTTCGTATGAATTTTCTTCCTTGCGTAAAGCTTTTGAAAATACCGATAGAACATACGCATATGATAAGGGTCAGTGTGAAAGCATACACCATCCAAATATAAATCGAAACCTGAACTGACTTGTGAAGAGAACCTATTAACACAGATGAAATAAAAATTGATAAAACCCAAGTAAGTGAAACAGTAACGTAGTAAGCTCTGCGGCGCGCTATGCAACGGTGCTTTAGAGGCCATCCAGTGGCATAAAACCTCTCTCCGGCGATAAATGCAGCTGTAATTATTGAAGCCTGGGCACAAACGGTGTCCACAGCCAAATAAAACAAATTTAAGGAGTAACCCCATTCGATTGCCCAGAGTTTAAAATCACCACCAAGACGATAAACAAATAAAGGCATTGCCATACCACCTAACATAAAATCTGCACAGGCCATATTTATAACCAAAAGGAAACTCTTTCTTCGAAGATTTTTGTTCAAGGCAAAAACCGTAATGGTAAGCGCGTTGCAAACTATTACGAGGAATGACACAACAGCAAATGCACTGCACCAAGCAACTCCTTCAGTCCTGCTATACGCCACAAGCGACAGAGATTCGTTCGTCCGCTCGAAAATCCTTGAACTGTTTTCCAAATGACCCATTTCCGCATGAAAAGTAAAGGATGTACTTTACGTGGCGAGCAGATTGTTTTCTCTAGGATGACACCCGGCCCGAAGAGTTATGTAAATCACTTTTGCAATATTAATAATGTTCTGTAAAGAATTGATCATTACTGCCTTACAACACAGTACAATTTAAACAGTTCTTAAAGTAAAACCCCATATTTCGGGATAGGAAAAATAAAATATAAATAGTGGGTAGGAGATTTACCATGATTTCAAGATTAAATCAATGTGCATCCAATGACAACTTCCAAACCCACCAAACGTGATAAAACAATTTTTAAAAAAATGCTTATTTTTTAGTTATTTATAAATTCCATTTGTGTTATGGCTAAGTTAAGGCCAAGTTGAAGATCCAAATTTGCTTAAAACTCCACACGCTGAAAATTTTATTTGTCCCCGGACAACTGGTCAAAGTACATAAATGCACATATGATCTTGCGATGCCTTGCGTGTTTAGCACCAAAAGAAAAAAAAGAATAAAAACTACCTTACATATACAAAAGCATATAATTATCGCAGATGGTGAGCCGTCGCCGTTTCTCCAATCGCAGTGAGAGTTGGCGAGTAAATTATGGTAAGAAAGTAACAACGAAATGCTTGCCAGTTTTTGTAATTATCATTTTTGCCGTGAACTTTGATTATTCTATCTTTCGGCTTCTATTGTAATCAGTTTTCTTCATGCTGAACTTTGGAGAATTACTGCTCTGCTAACAGCATGGTAAGCGTGGGTAAAGCAAAGCGATATAATTAAATTGGTTGCTATATACGTGTTTTTGCAGGAAGAAGACCTTAATTCAGATTAAAAATCTACATTTTACCAAGTTTTCTTTATAAGAGCCCATCGCAACGTCGACTTCATCATCCTTAATATCGGAATGCAACTGCACGTGTTCAATGTAGGACTATGGACAATTCCTTCTGGCTGAGAAACCGGTTTTTTTAAAGATTTTGTATAAAAAAATGGGCTCAAAATTATGAATGAGTTATTGCTACATTTAGTATCATGGCTTAACTATCCAGCACATCACGTAATTAATTTTAACGTATGTTATCGGAAAATGTGATGTGGGCCGAGGCAACCATCAGGTAAAAAGATATTTTGTAAAGCTTTTATTTAAAACAAGGGCTCCAAACATATACGCAAAAACTACTGCTGTGCCTTGATTAACGCACACATCACGTAACTAGCTTCAATGCATGGTTTCGGACAATGCCATTAGCGACGAAAAAAAACAATAAAAACACATCTTTTTAGCTTTCTTTCGAAACAAGAACTTCCAACTGAAACATCGACAAATTGAATTAGAGGAGAATAATACTGTGATTTAGATATTCAACATATCTTGAGTATTTCGGACGAAGCCAGATGGGATGAATAGCAGGACGTTTCAGTCAAGATGGTTATCATCTTGTATACAGCGCTTCGGTCTGTATCAGTCATATAGCTGGGATGGTAACTGTCTAAGTTTATTATCTGCCCACTGTAAAGATGGTGATTTTGTGTCTGAGTGCTTGAAAATATCTCCTTCACAAAAGCGCGCGACCTTCTGCCGCATCAACCCAGCTTCTACATAAGTTAACCTATTCCCACAGATAACGCTGACCATGCGCGGTGTTTTGATTTCAAGTAATGAGATGATATCAAAGCAAACAATTTACGAGAATAAATGAAAAGAATAAGAAATAACTCGAATAAAATAGGTTTGAAAACACCACACGATGATAACTGGTCAGATTGTCGGCAGCTGGAATGGAGCGCGGCTTGTTCCAACATTTAACAACCAGGGATTAGTCGATATTATACCGGCCGACGAGCATACGAAGCATCTTACTTCCTAGTTCCCTGCGAAATGACACTTTTACTGAAAACAGAAACACCATATGGGTACAGTAAATACTCGAAGTATCGAACTTTCAAGCAAGGGAAATTGAAAAATGTTCGAGTTATAACAACAACAAGAACAATTTATCACTTATAGAGCGCTATTTACAATGACAGATTAACAGCGCTTTACAATCAATCCTAACCCGCACATCCCATCTCAACGGAGGACATCCATCACACAGTAATCTCGTGCGTGGGAAATTAACGTCTCCTACCCCTAACCCTGTAGGAGACGGGACCTCCATTTATCAGTCCCTATCCGAGAAGACTAGAATATCTAACCATTTCTTGATGTTATAGAAAGGTAGCATATTCTTCTCAATTATTTTAAGACCTTGAGTGTTGGTCCGGCCGGGGCTCGAACCCTCGACCTCCCGCACAACAGAGTTATCCGAGAATTACTGTTTTTTTCCTCAATTGGCATTCGTATAATTTTGACAAAGAGTTTGCGCAGGAGTAGCACATGTAATGCTTTTTTGTGTCAAGATTACCTTCCTTATTAGGACATAAAAAAATGATGAACTGCGAACATGGAAAACGTAGAGCTTTTCATAAAAACATCGGACTTATTCAGTTTCCTGTTAATTCATGTCCCATGTTTGCAGATTAATCTCTGTAATCTACACTACAATTGTCTTAAGTGCCGGATAAAATT